AGCGTGTGGACATAAAGGCCAAAGATTTTTCACAGGAAATAGGGATTCTGGGAAATAGTTTTTTTTTTTTTTCCGGGCGTATACATGGCATACGGTGGGGTTCAGGGGAATATTACACCAACTTTGGAGAATCACAAGGAAAATGGAAGCTGCATAAATGGTATCTCATACGGAAACGATATTCATAGTTATCATTAGCTTTGGGTTTTTGATGTGTTGCACTACAGATATGTGAGCATGAATTACAGGAGCTCAATGGCACGGGTAGTTGCTCAGGCTTCTTAGGGTTTAGGGTTTAGNNCTGCCGGAATGCAGCTGCACTCACCCTGAAGACTGGTGCTCCGGAAAGACCAAGCCTCAACCCTAAACATCCCTAACCCCTAAACCGCATTCTGACGGCATCGGTTTGAACATGGAAGGTCCGGGTTACAGTACGGCTTCTGGATCGAGGCAACACAACCTGTTGAAAGTGTTAGCTTTGGGCTGAGTGACTCTGATGCGAAGACATACGGAGTTTCCCAAAACTAGGGGTACCTTTTAAGAGGGTCCCATAATAAGGAATATAGTAGTTGAGCGTCTAAATTGGGGTCCCCTGATTTTGGGAAAGTACCATATGCGAAATATACACAACAAATCCTGAATAAGCTTTGCCATGCGCATGCTTCCAAAGTTTACCAAACAATTCTTGCAGAACCCTATCTTTAGAAGTCGGCTCCTTAAACAAGTTACACGCATAAAAGGGCACAGACTTGATGCAAGGACTTGCAGACTGCTTGGGCTCAACCATGGGCATAGTCCCACTTAAGCAAATAGAATATGGCTTTGGGTATATTAGAACAAGATCCCCATATACCCCATATTCTATCTACTCTAGGGGGACTATATCCTAGGCATGGCGTACACGTGTTTTAGAATCTTCGTCGTATAGCTGTCCTGAGCCTTTAGGCTTTTGCTGTATACACGGCGTACGCTATCTACGAGGTGTCGAGCCTTCTTGCTGGCTCGACGGCAGCCGACCTAAATGCACAACATGAACCAAAGCCGTACAACTTCGCATAAACTATAAACCCTAAACCTAAACCCTAAATAGAGGTTTGCATTTCTTTTCCATTATCCCCACATAACCCAGATAACCCTAAATATATCCCCTATATAAGCCCAATCTATCCCCTATATGACCCCTACTATTTCTAAAACTTTAGCACTTGGGGCTGCAGTGCCTTCTGAACCCCGAACCATCCCAACCACACCCCCAAAGCTCCCACACTGAGCCCTAATGTAGACCCATAATTAACAACCCCCCTCCTTTTAGGGCCTAGGTAATGGAAAATAAAATGGAAACTACCATGATGAATAAACACCCTCGTTTTAAGGGCCTAACTGCTAGGATCCCTATTATTTCAGGGCTTAGGGCCTAAATATTAGGATCCCTATTATAATCCCTATTTCGGGGAAGGGGTTTCTTCATCAGGGGTCTGGGTTAAAAATGCCACCAAACAACATGGCCACACTGGGTTCCCCAGTAACCCCATAATAAGGGTACCCCTTTTCCTAATCTTCAGCTTTAATAAGGAGACCCCCAGACAAAAAGGAAGAAAGGGTACTACTGGGGCACCTAGCACAAGGCGTAAGCTACCCAGTCTCCAGACAGAGTCTGAGGATCAGGCAACACCAGCTCCGCCTGACTTTGGAATCTTTGTTGAAATGTCTAGGCCCTATATGAAACCCCGATATGGGACCTTATATATGTATATATATATATATTAACCCCTATATAAAACCATATAACCTCAGTTTCCATTTGATTTTCTATTTTCTTTTCCGTTTGATTCGCCATTATAGCCTCAAAGGAGCCGAACCAAAGCACAGGGCTTGAAGTGGAAATGGCAACTCCAACCTCTACCTTCTCCTCCTCGCTGTCCTCCTCCTCCTCCTCTTGCTGCTACTGCCCCTCATGCAGCCACTTCTATTGCTATCGCCTCTGCTACTGCTACTGCTACTGCTACCACTGCTACTGCCACGACTACAGGTAGTAACGCGGCTGTTGGCAATACATCAACGAAGGGGACAATGGTAAGTACTGCTTCCTTACACGATTGTTGCCGTTGCTGCTATTCCTGCTACGACACTTCTGTCACAAAAGCATGAAGAGCCTTCTGGCCTACTGTGTCAGCTTTGCTCTCGTTTCGCGCGTGTTGTCGTCACTCGTCTGCAACATTACAATGACAGATCTCATGGATTTTGTGATTCTTTGCTTCTACGCTTATGTGCTTTGTGGATGAGCTGGCAGCCTGTAGCCTGCGTAGAGGCAAGATGGCAATCGAGTAGGAAATGATCTCAGTCGGGCAGTGTAGGGATCCATCTTAATACAGATACCAATCCTGTTCCTGTTACCGCAGCCATGCCTTAGCTTCCAGTCAAGCACTTATGCATTCCGTGGCCTCATTTTGCGTTCGGGAGGTGAGACGGTGAGACGTGAAGGCTGGGTCCTAGGGCAGGATGAGCACCTGCTGCTCAGGAATCAGTTACGTGTGCTAGTCTTTGGTGGGGCCGTGCTAGCAGGAATGGACAGAAAGCAACTATTGCAATGCTAGGCGAAGTGGTGAGTTGATAACCCTCGCAGGATTGTTCTTGAAGATCTGGGCACCGGTTCTGAACCCAGGTCTTTCTTCGGGTAAGCATTTCAGACAACGGCAGTCGCAGCAACAAAGTCCTCTAAATTCATAACAGCCTGTGGCAGAACGACACTTGGCAGGTGGAATAGGAAGAAGTCTGCTAGCAACCCAACACCATCCAGCACCTATTTCTCTAAAAGCCTTAGTCTACATAGCTGGCTACCCAAATGCCCTAGAAAGGTTTCCGTCGGTACGGCGAGTCAGCATCTGGTTGCACGGCCACAACTCGAGATTTGCGCGGCCTTGGAGTGCCATGACGTGCCATGGCTGCTGTTTAGGGTTTAGGGTTTAGGGCTTCGAATCCAGACCCCAGGGCCAGCATCCAACCCCAGGTGAGCCATTGTCTAAACTCCTAGTATCCCCCTTAGTAACCCCTATACCACTCCCATATGTAATCCTATCTAACCCATTTTAAGGAGTTTAGACTATAGCTCATGTAGACAAGCCCTTGTTAAGGCACCTGTTGGTTCCATTTGTGGTTCATGTGTTGGGTCCAACGTGGCTATTGCCTGAGGTTGGGCCCCCTCTCCTTTTTCCCGCAATTGCGGCGGCTCTTGTTCTAGGAGCTCCCAAACAAGGACGACTTCTTGGGGTAGGGCTCATATCTTTTTGGTGCCCGGTTAGGCATTGAGCCTTGTTCTTGGAGCATTGGATTCCAAGTGGTTTAGGATTTGTTTTCTGTTGGGGCTTTTAGTAGGGCTTGGGGTTTTGAGGATGTAGGTTTGGCTTCAGGGTCTTGGGTTTAGAAAAAACGATGGGAATGATTCCTGCCTACTCCAAGCAAACACTCAATGGTATCAACTCTGCACTGAATCAATAGCTCTAGCTCCTTAGTCTGAACACTGAGCTGCAGCCCGCACAACTACGTGCTAGACCTAGCTTTCGAGGCGTCATCCCGGAGCCGTACGCTCGAAAACCTTCACCCAAGCCCTCATGCCCCACGTATAACCTCAAGTCCTGCAGCCCGGATCTCAGCCATCCGCACTGAAGATGCAGAAAATCTTGCACCACCTTAGCTACCTTATATTCTCCAGGAGTGGCAGCAGATTGGGGTTCCCAAGTGGTGCAAGACCTAAATCCTGAACCCCAAAACCCCACAGCAGAACCTCGGCTTCGAAGGCCCTCCCAAGCCCCTGAGCCCCCTGCAGCCGTGGGGTGCGACTATAGGCCTCGCGCAAGAAGTTGATACCGTTCTGGAAGATCTTGGCCTGCTGCCGGAGGGTCCATCGAAAGGGATGATAAGGGTTTAGGGCTTAGGGCAAGTTTAGGGGGATGAGAAAGTGTTGTATTGGCAGTTGGAAAAATTGAAAATCAAATAGATAAAAACAACGGACAACGACATAGAAAACTCGTATGAAAAAGGTGCTATACGAGGTAACGGGAGGATTGTCGGTGCCCTCAACTCCCCAAATAGGGACCCTATGCCTATCATACATGACAACTATAAGGTCCTGATTGTAGGGCTTGGAGCTGCAAAAGACCTCTTCTTAAGTAGGTACCTGGGATCTTGGCCTTGTAGACTTTGGATATAGGATTTCAGATTTCAGCGGCGTAGGGGAGTCTCCGGCTTGCATGTTAAAGGGTGTTAAGGGTAGGCATTAGGTGTTCAAAGGAAAAGCGTCTAGGGTTTCAGGGTTTAGGAGGCTCAAGAGCTTCGTGTAGAAATTCCAGGTCAAGGGAAGGATTTGCTGTCTAGTGGGCGGGTTAGGGTGGAGGAGAGCCAGCCTAAAAATCCTGCATGACCTGAAGTGACTTTAAACCCCTGGGTTAGGCCCCCACCCAGTAATAGTGGTGGACTAGGAATATAACAAGGCTCTAATATAATTACCATTATCTCTTGTGGTCACTATTACCGGGTGGGGGCCCAACCTAACTTATGCCTGGGCATAATGGTAGTAAAGCATGCTGAGGTCATGCAGGATTATTTGTATCAACGGTAGTTCCCTACTTGGTTGCCGGGATTGCCCGTCGCTGCTGCGTCCCTCCATGTAAGCTACGTCAGCACCATATCTGCATCGGAAAAAATCGCAATAGTAATGGTACTAGTAGTACAGCAAATAGTAGTAATAGTGGACACAACTACTTTCAACCGCCGGTCTTAATTAGGGGACTAACCTGAAGTGGATAGCTGGGGAATCCAAGCTACTGAACATTAAACCTCCAGGCCTCCTCCATGAGGTGCTCCGTAACCTTCTCATTGCCCTCGCGAATGCCGCGGAAACCTTGGCAAAGCCCAGGTGAAAGGGAACCGGGGAATTTCGGGGATTGGTGTGTAAGACTGGGTAACATGGCGGTCCGAGGTCAAGGGCTCCAAAGCAGTTGATGGATGACGCGAAAATGAACTTCTTATGTTTTTGGGGTGAGTGTTGATCAGGTTCCTTTAGAACCGGTGGGTGCCAGTACTTGGTATGCAACTCGAGGGACCCCAGAATAAATTCCAACGACATGTGCTCTACCAAGCAAACTCCGAAAACACAAATCCATAAGCGACAAATTCTTCAGGTCTCTAGGTCACCCGAAGGGTCCAAGCACCCCAATCCAAGTTGCAGCTCTCCCTACAAGAAGCCCGTATAACTCATTATGGATATACTTTGACGAGCAGGGTCTGTAATCTCCTCAGATCTGAAAGAAAATATCATTGTCAATAATTCCTTAGGGTTACACTATACTAAACATGGAAAATCATTCCTAAGCAAAGACTACATGAGCTATAGTCTGAACGCCTGGTATCCCGCTTTCTATCCTCATACTACTCCCCTTTAGAATCCCCTATTGGGGCCCATTTAAGGAGTTCAGACTATAGCTCATCTGATAACAATAACAAAGCCATCAGGCCATTCCAGAATGGATTATATAGGGACCAGAATAGGCCTTATTCAGGGGGATACTCGGAGTTTACCCTAAACCTTAGGTGGACCCCCCACCCAGTAATAGTGACTATAGTGGATAGGCATTATATTAGGGTCCTCTGATACTCCTACTATACCACTATTACAGGGTGGGGGGTCCTCCTAACCTAAACCCTACACCCTAAACCCACACGGGGTGATATTTTGGAAGCAGCTGAGAAGCGACGAACTTCGGCACCCGAGGCATCCTCAATCGCCTCGCACGGTGTTCTGCCAGCAATGACAGGACTCAACTGGGGACCCCAAACAGGGCTTGAGGGTTCAGGGAGGGAACCCCCAAGGATCAAGTAGGAATGTAGAAGGAAGATAAGGCCCAAGGTAGGTATATTCCTATTCTTCTTCTTAATAATTACTAGTCTTACTATATTATTCAGCTTCCCTGCTTTGGGGGGTCCCATTTTTAATCCTTTTGTTCAAGGCCATTAGGTTAAGGTCGTGGTCTTCTGGGCTCTGGCTCTGAGCTTCAGGTTGAGGATTTCAAGTGTGCAGGTTCACGGAATTTCAGATGACTGGGTTGCTGTTAAGGAACTTAAATTAAGTTACCATGATGGGTCTATACAGAAAATAATATGGTTTCCCCAATTTAGTAACTTCAAACAAGCCTTGGTTTTTAGGTTCTAGTGTTCACATTGCACGCGAACAGTGCATTGTGAGTTTCATACCCTATATAACCCTACATAATATAGCAGCTTCCATTTGATCATCCATTGTCAAATTATGAATCTATTTATTACGTGCCCATGACCCTCCAAAGACTACGGTCCCATGGAGGGCCACCATGGCTTGGATTTTGGGCCCAGGGACCATCGGATCGATAGAGGTATCCGTCTCCTCTTGAGGCTATAAGTATAGTAGTAGCAGTAAAAGTAATAGTGAAAGTAATAGTAAGTAAGAGTAAGAGCAATAACAATAGTAATAGTAAGAATAATAGCAGTAAAAGTATGGTAATCATAGAAATAGTCGTAAGTTCTTCTCAAGGCGATCCCTAGGGATCCAAGTATATAAATACTACCCAGAATGGAGAATCAAATGGAAAAGAAAATGGGAAATTAGATGGAAGCTGGGGTTATAAAGGAGAATAGAAAGGGATCCACGTA